AAACCACCCTGAAACTCAGGCTTTGCGCGCCAAGCGGTGCCGTACCATTGAGAATCCTCGCTCATGTAGAAGAACACACGTACACTGAAGTGCTGCAGCTTTCCGAGCTTGGAGGCCTCCGCAGCGGCATAGTCGAACGATGGCTTGTACCGAAAGTTCTCTGCAATCGAGAAGGTAGCTTTGCCTCCTAGACCACGGTAGTACTCGATCAACTTCTTGCCATCAGCTACGGTGGGAGCAAGCGGCTTTTCGGCAAGGACATGCTTGCCAGCAGCGAGAGCAGCTCTGATGTGCTCGGGTTGGCTCGGGATGGGCAATGCGATGATGACAGCTTCAATGTCTTGACGAGCAAGAAGGTCGTCAAACGACTTGCCGGATCCCGAATCGGCCGAGTACAAGTCCGGGTCTTGGCCGGAGCGGGTGTTCAGGGCAGCCGTCTCCTTGGCCGACTTGAGAGAGCGGGAGTAGATAGCCTTGAGGGCGAGGTTATCTGCCTTCATGATAGCAGGCTGCCGGGCCTCTGTTCAGCATTCATTCTGCATACGTAATTGGGCGGTTGTATTGGGGGTTTCGCACCATGTGAGCCTGTTTAGCGAACAGGCCTCCGCCGATCAATGCTACGCCGATGGGAGCCATTGTTGATGCTGCACTGTACTGTAGGCAGAGCTATTTTGAGGTTGTTGTTTGTTATCTCTGGGGGTAATGAGTTGCTATCATATGTCGGCAGTTCTCTTGGGAGAATAGAGAGAACAAGAGTTATGATGTCTTGTTGGAGGGCGGGGTTTCCCCTCCATCATGGAACCCCCACTGTCGATTCCACCTTGTTCTGTTTCGTCTACGTAGAGATTTGTCAATCATGTTGGCCAATGTGCATATTCAGTTCAGCATACAATTGTCTACCTATGTACGTGGTATTGTTGAAATCTCTTCAACTCTGAGGTCTCATATTGTCATCATGATATACAAGTGAGGTTACCATCTCCCCTGTCTATTAAATGCCCTGTGCTTCTTGAAACCGTTACTAGTCCAAAGCACCAACGGAAATAACTCACCACCAAAGAGAGATGCAATGCATCATGGTAACATCTATGGATCGCATCCCTCACCGCCGCTACAGACCCCTGACGTCACTGAATATAAATATTCCGTCGGACACTTTCGGTATACTGTAACTTACTGTATGCAATGCAACTCCACCCCCGACTCTTCTCCGCCAAGTCTGAGTGAGTGAGTTGAGTTTGAACTGAATTGACGGTACGTATCAGTATCACCACGCCAAGCCAACATGCATAGAAGGGGAAAAGACGCATGAGAGAAGCTGAAAATCCAACCCTGCTATAACTACCCAAAGCAGTCGAGGTGTGGCAGGGCGTGTGCATGCATCGGCCGCATCTGCAATCTCCTCTGTTACTACTGTCTGTGATTATTGGCTCCAACTGCCATGAAACACAATAAAACAAGAACAAGATAAAGAAGAGGACCCAGCTCAACTACCGCGACGCACGCACTTGTACTGATCGGGTATGTATTACCATCGCAACCGTTGGCCTCTTCTGTGCCGCGGATCTCACTCCGCAGAGCCTATGTGGCTGTCAGCTAACTAATCGACTACAACCGTAACATGCAACTGTATCCGCTACACTACCTACACTTAGTATGTACACTACCTTGCCAGGCTTACCTTGACTACAGGCTACAGCTACCTAGGTCCTACAGGCAGTACCTGTGCGTGATGAGACGGCTAGATGGATGCGATGTGATGCAGTCAGTGCATTAATTAACTTCGACTTATCAGTGGCATGTTGCTTCGTACCTGTTCATCACTTTGCTTTTTCCTTTTAGGGCTCGGTATACGGGTGAGCCTCATCATCCCATCTCCCTACACCTTGGATCAGTAGCTAAACCTTCAAACAACGCCCATGACACCACTTGTAAGACGAGGAATTCCGCTTACGCAGGCATTCTCATTTTCAACATCGCGATACCGTTACATTCAACCTCCACCAAATCCCCTGTAGATCCCTCCCTCGCTCCCTCTGCATTGCTCAACGAACCCCCACAAAACACCAGCCTTGGGCATTTTCCATCGCCTAGAGCGTCTCTCTTGTTCCAGGCAAGCAAGCCAAGCTCACAGACAGATATGACATATCGTAAACTCGTGCGGCATCTTCCGTACATACGTTTTGTTTTGTCGCGCCATATTCATATGTATGTCGCTCATTAGTGCCATTTGACCTCACTAAACCTTGAAACCCTCCTATCTCCGGAACTCGGGCCCAGGAACGCACTCGCTAGCGTCACTGGCATCATCGACATGCCCATGGTACTGTAGGTACGGTGCTAGAACTGGCATGCCGTCTCTTCTCCCGCTTCCCGATGGTCGCCAAGCAAGGTTACCCCCATCATCACCAACGTGACTGAGTGATTCTTGAAATTCCAAGTCGTAGCCGAAACTCAATTATACCTACCTAATCCCTTCAGGCTTGCTTCACTACACTTCGCTTATGTTGGTTATTGGTTGGTGCGCTTCAGGCGTGAGACTTTCGGACTCTATCAAGCTGCCGCCCGGTGCAGGGCGTTCGGTTGGGTCCAACAAAGGTTCTATTCCGCAGCGCAGTTAGTGAGCCGTCCTCAGTTGAAACAGCTGATGTGGAAGGCAGTTGCCTCGCGTTCTCTCTGTCATCCCTTGTCTTACAAACACCATGGGTGGTGTTATTATCGTATCGTATCGTGTCTCGGAACTTACCCTGTACTGTAATGGAATTTGGAACCTTTGTACGTTTTCCGATTAATAAACTGAAATATGTTGAAATGATTATGAATCAAAATACATTCGCCTGTATCGTTTGTCGTTCACAGTACGAGTAGAGGGAACGAGACAACGAACTGCTCATCTTGCAAGTCAGAGGTGGAGGCCTAGGGTAAGCTGCCTGGAGACTTACCACCTCAACCATAACACTTCCTGGTGCGTACAATTGAATAGAATGATATCAGGCTAGGTCAAATAGAATACCAATACTATCATTCATGTACAGGTAGGTAAGAGTGTCATGTTACTCCGTCCATAACGACAACGGAGAGACCAAATCTTCCTGATCGAGTGTGGCAAGACTCATGCACGACTAAGAAAAAGGTCTGTTAGAGATTGCTAAAGATGCAATACGGTTTATATTCTAGATTTCATGCATAATTCTCAAGCCCAAACTGTTAAAATGGTAGTTTCATTTCATCAAGATATCTCAAATGGCCTCCCTACAATCTCATTACGCCATGCCAGCTGTATCTTCAGCAATACCATGCCACTTATTAAACACATTATTCGGATCATACTTTCTCTTCAACTCCCTCAACCTAGGCAGATTAACCCCCCAAGCATCCTTGGGCGATATACTATCAGCCTCAATGTTGATATACACTCCTACAGGCCCCTTGCTCCAGTGTCCACCCGCCGTAGCCGAATACCCATTCGTCTCCCGGATCCTCTTACACAGATTTCTGTTAAACTGCCGTATCTCTGAATCGTAGGCTGGGTTCTCCCATGCAAATGAAGTCATGGCGTCGTAATAATCGCCTCGATTAGCGTAGGCTGTTGCATCCTGGGGGATTTCGCGAATCTTGTCTGTTGGGAAGAACTCAATAGCCAAGACAGACTTGCCCATCCCATCGTGTGATTCGCAGAATTTCCAGAATTTTTCTGCTGTTTGTAGCATTGGTTCGATATCAAGAGGCATTGTGATGTTGCCTGAGCCCATGAGGCGTCGAATGCCGTGGTCCATGACGGAGTTGAGGAGCGTGTTCGTCTTCGCAGTTGTCATCATCTCCGTATCGTTAGCGATTGCTTTTATCTCGAGAAGACCGGAGAAATATCGCTTTGCATCTGCCTCTGAGCCGTGAAACAGAGGAATAGCAGACACGACACGGCTCGCCTCATCAGGCCCAAAGCCAATACCCAATGCAAAGCAATGCCCCTCTGAGCTGGGTCTTCCATACAACACATTCGCAAAGCGCAATAAGTCAGGCAGTTTATCAGCCGAGTACGCCAACGTTCCACTCCAGACTTTGCCTTGTCGATGAGCTCGAGATACGAAACGAGCTACGACTCCAAACTGTGCACCAGCGCCTCGAATAGCCCAGAACAGATCCTGGTTTGTGTTTTCAGACGCTTCGACTATCGTCCCATCTGCAAGAACAACTTCCGCCTTCAACAAGTTGTCGATGGTAAGGCCGTGCCGGGGTGTGAGAAAACCATGGCCTCCGCCAAGTGTAAGTCCTCCAACCCCCGTGTGATTGACGACACCTCCGACTGTCGCTAGACCATGTCGCTCGAGGGCTGTATCAACATCTTCCCATAGACAGCCCCCTTCGAACTCGACAGTCATAGCTTCTGCGTGGACTTTGACCTTTCGCATCTTTCTTAGATCAATGACCATGCCCTCGCTTGACGAGGCACCGCTGGATGAGTGGCCACCACCGCATACAGTCATTGGTATTTGATTTGAAACTGCAAATTTGACCGCCGTGGACACCTCTTGTGAGTCAGTCGGTAAGACGATAGCTGCCTATGCTGTGTGAGTCTCGTGAGGGAAGTCATTGCGTTCGACATACTGCTCTCTTGACGCAAGTCGCGCTCCATCTTTGCAACACTACCTCGTAGCCATCATCTCCAGGCAAGAGAACATTGCCATTCGGTATGTTGTCTCGAAGCGGAGTGAAATCGTACATTGTATCACGTATTACCCAGATTCGGTGCCGTACAACTTATGGACTGCCCTCTTCAAGTAGTAAGAAGCGGTATGAGAGGAAGAATCATCATGGACATAGTTCGAGGAGAAAGCGAGTATTTGACAATTTTCATGATTTCACAAATGTTCTCAGTTGAGACATGTCGTCATTGAACATCTAAAAGGACAAGATCTCCGCATTTAGAGACCAGTCGTCCCTCGTATAAGCATGTGACTGAAGACGGAACTTTGTACTCTGCAGAGCCGAGGCCTGCCTGTTTAAATATCTTCTGATGATTCCACATCAGCTGGTATATCGACAGGTGGTAATGCGTCTATCATCCCAAAGCCATATTTGTCCACCACTTTCTCTCCTCCCATAAGGTCATTAGTATCATCGCGCCCTCCTGCGAGCCATCTTTGTAATCTAAAGGAAGTCTTCGCTATGTGATTAAAGACGTCCCAGTTCTCCATCCCGATGGACATCATTGTAGACATGGTCAAGGTCTTGATGAGGCGGCCAGGACCGATTTTGTGACAATTTGTCACGAGGGCAATCATGACCCATGCGAAGATACCGAGAACTGATTTCCAAGTTGCCAGACCGGACTTCCAGATCGATAGCCAAAGCACTTGAATGTCTTCTTCAGAACAAGCAGAGCTGATTGGGGAACGATTGAGGATCGCTTTGCAGTAGATTAAGGCCACTTTGCGGATAACGCGATACATGACGTCTGGAAGTAGGGAGGGCGAAGAAGACTTGTCAGTTCTAAGTGATCCCGCAGAACTTCCTGGGCTCTCGACCGAGCTTGCTCTAGATGATTGGGAAGGCCTTGGAGATTGAAGAGCGGGGGTGTCTTCCGGTAAATTCAGGATCCTCTCGTAAAACCACTGAGCCGTTGAGAGAACTTTTTGGACGTGCTCAGAACTTGGATTTCTCGGTAAAGCTAGAATGGCTGAGAACAAGCCCCTCATGTCGTCGAGTATTTGAGCAGTACTTGGGTGTAACTGTAAAGAATTTGAGCATTCTTTGAAAGATTGCCAATTGCTGATAAAGGGGGTGTTGAAGGCCGTGTTGAAGGGCACAGCTCGTGAATCTCGGAACTCGAAGCCGGGATGTCCATACATGGAGGGCTTGATCTCATGTGCGAGCGCCATGACTATGTCGTGACTGTACCACGTCAGATTCTTGTACGACGGAGATCGAGACACTGCAGCTGCAGCATTCCGTGTAACAACTTACATGAGAACCATCTTGGCCAAGTAACCACGCAAACCGAGCTGGGACAGCCCATCTCTCAGGTTGATCATCCCTCTAAGACCACTAAGGTGGGCTTTTAGATCATGCGTAGCACCCCAGTACCAAGAGTCCGCAATCATCTGGACAACACCAAGCACTAAAGTATCGCTCGTCTGTGCCTGTTGATCCGTGAGCTGAGAATTCAGCATTCGATAAACCTGGTGCTTGTGTGCGTATTGTAAAGCCTTGGAAAAATGACGGGTTTCGGATAACCAGCATGATGATGTAAACAAGACGATTTGGAGAAGGAGGGGATCTTGCAGAGTGCAGGGAATCCAGAAGTTCATGAACTCGTTGGCGGGATCTGGATTACCGTCTACTGCGCACTTGAAGCGCGAGAGTAATTGCAAGTCTAGACCACACGCATTAGTGAACAAGTGGACAGAAATGTCACACACAACTTACGAATGCGTACTAATTCCTTGTTTAACTTGGTAGGTTTCATGGGAAGGTACTCTAGCTGTACTGCAGAGCCATCAACTGGCGGGATGATATTGTACCGCTCATCGTAATCTTGAGACCCCAAGATCTCTGTGACACGTTCATTGGAATAATTGAGTTTGGCTGTTGCGGTGCTCTTTGCCGTGATGGTCCAGACTGACTGACGTATCGTGTCGTCATCGTCACCATTTGGTGATGAGTGAATCTTGTAAGGTAACCATAGATCGGTTCGTGGTTGTGTAGCTGAAGTGGCGACGGATGAGCTAGGACTAGTTACCGAAGAAGTGGGTGACCTTTCGTCCTCGAGATAATAGAGAGCGTCTTGGATAGTCGCAGGGTTGAGATGTGAGTAAGGGCCTTCTCGTACATCTCCCACTAGAGGTGGTTTCGGGCGTGAAGCTATTGGGTGATGTCTAGAGCATGTTAGTCGCTGTACTGTAGACGAGATATTCTGGAAGGGCAGTGATGAAGGGTTCGTCCACGGTAGTACAGAAACACTGACCTCTTGGAAGACTTGACTTCGTATATACATTCGGGTGAGGGAAACCGACGAAAGCAATTTGTACATGGTTGACTTTGCGAGCACTATGAGCATGTTAGTCGGGTTTTATCCGGGCATAGGTACAGAGTTGGTTAATACGAAAGTGGCAAATAATTAGGCTGAAAAGACCAAAGATATCGCAATTCAATTGAGAAGTCCTCGATGTACAAAACTCACCTTTTGCTTGCGACGGCGGCATTCAAGGCACGATGACGTTTGTCGCGGAGCTCGTTGTCGAGGTGCGACTTGCATCGGCGTGGCTCCAAGTACCGGCATCATTGTTCCACCAACAACCTACTTTAGCGATTCCTTTTTTTTTTTTTTTTACTCCTCTCGCTTTTGCAATACCCCAAAAAATGATCAAATCGAGAGTGACAGGCGGTAATATTTGGTGTCCCCTTGACGTCGCTCAAGCGATTGATTGGCCCAGCACTCCCAAATGAGAACCGGTCAGAGACACTGAGTGAGGTTGTTGGTTCAACGACAGGCCAGGGGTCAGCGGCGGATGGTTGTTGGTTCTAGTTAGTTAAATCGAAAGATGCAAGTTTGTGTGCTGCAAACTGCAGGGAGAGAACAAGAAAGAAAGATGGGTGTGTCTTTTTTCTGTTTTTGGGCTCAATGACTGAAATGCCCTGATGTTGTAGGGGTTCAATTGAGAGCCATGTTTGTTCCTCAGAAAGGAACAGAGACAGAGCCAAGGGAGAAGAAGAGCAGATGGGAATATATCTGATCTCAATTTGAAGCGCGAGGCCGAGCGTCCCTTTGCCTGTTGACCAAACGCGGCAACGTGCGGCTGTAGGCTCTTCCAAGGCCTGGTGCTGGTCCAGGGAGGGATTGTCTGGTTGCAGCGCAGTATGCGTGGCTCTGGTGCACAGTTCCGCGGATGCAGGGAGTCTCTTCCTCTCGCCTCTTGTCTTGTCTTGTCTTGTCTCCTCTTCCTTGGGAATACGCGGGTTGTAGATAGAAGGATCCAATATCGACGCAATGTCACCCCCAGTACAGTATCGAAAAGAAAAGGGCCTGTTTTGTTTTCTCCCCCGCCGTTGAAGATGACAGAAACTCTCAATTCTTCAGAGGCGTTTGACAATATGCCAAGCAATACCAGAACAAAGAAATGTCGAACCAGAGCCCGCGTGTCTTTCCGTGGGTGCCGATCACAGTGACGATTCGCTTGCTTGCTTTTTCTTCTTCCCTCCCTTCTAGCGGATGTGATGGAACAAAGAGAAGAAAGTTGCCTGGAAGAGAGAGACAACACAGCAACACTGATACTGTTATGCACCTGTTGTCTTGTCTTGGTGATGGGCTAATCGCACCGAGTCTCGAACTTGGATTAACACGCCCTAGCCAGAAACGTTTGCTACAAACTCTCCAATTAAAGACGACGAGCTCAAACCATGAATCGAAGGTTAAATCGTGAAGCTATCCCAAAACGGTCAAGCATAGTCGCGAATACCGACGGACGGGGGAATGGATTCTCATTTTTAGCTCCATGGCGAGCTTCCAGGCTTTCAGCTGCCTCGTGGCAAGACTCTCGATCAGTCCATTGTCTCAGTTGACAGCTGCTGATAACGAAAAGAGCGAACCGTGCGTTACATCTGAGGAGGATGTATAAGAATCCTACGACATCCTCGAAGGAATATTCGTCACGTATTCGTGGTAGACCAGAGGCAAACAGGGGTTCTTCACGGCTTTCTCACTTACCGTACGATCTATCAAGGCCTAGGCCTCGACAGGGAACAATCAGTGGGGGGCCGGATGCTACCGCGAGCCCCGTCGTATCGAAGATCTGCCTACCCGCGATCTTAGGCCTTCAAATCCTCCGAAGACCAGCTAATCAAACAATGAGACAAAAGAATTCCAAGAGATCCCTATTTGCCATTTAATTTAACTTTCATATCTCCGAAGATAATAGGCAGCCGTTATGAATGAAAAGCTAGTTTCCATTATACAAGTACAGCCACTTTGACCAACAGATATATAGTAGCTATCATCCCAGCATCTTTCCATCAATTTCATAGCATCAAGTACATTCAAAGGTTCACATCCAAGTAAAACCAGGTGGTATCTAGTCGTGCAGAATCAGAAGCAAAAGAAACAAGAATCATCATCACCAATTCCTCCACCCTCAACGCCAGTCTTATAATCGTTCTAGTTCTCGTTTCATGGATTTTCGTGGATTCGAGCTCATATTCAAGCTCGAGACGTCATTTTTCATAGCCAAATTCAAATTGCAAGGACTGTCTCATGAAGAAGGGGCATCAAAATATGCTTATCTTCCCCGGTAGTCAGGCTTCCGGGCCATGTTCACAGGCGGGGGCTCGTCATCATCTAACGGGTAAGGAGGCGCGGCCGCAGGCACTCTTCGACCTTGATGTTGCTGGCTCTCAGGGAGAGGCGTCTTGGGTGGCAGCGGCGGCGGTTCAATCCGTGTCGGTGGCGGCGCGGCCATGTTGGGAGGTGGCCTAGGATACTCGTCTGGGCTGACAATGGCAATCAAGTCTTGGCCCGACACCCCTTCGCGGTACTGCGCGGGTGTAGGTGATGATACTGCCAAACGATCCTCTGGATGTAAAGTCGGAGCGCTGGCGCTGGGACCACGGGGTCCTAGGGGAGGAGAGTTGGGAACGTTATGCGGAACAGACGTTTCTGCGTGCATTCGTTCGTTTGAGCTTCGTGGCGAACCGTTATGGTTGTTGTTGCGGATATGCAAACTATCTGACCCCGACTCGAACGACGACCTGCTCGCGGGGCTGTGAGGAAGTGGAACAGTAGTTGGAATATCTCCTGCAAGTTCGAATGCCATAGGCATCTCCCATGTGGTTGAGGTTGACTTGACAAGTTCTGGGATTCCTTCAGGAGCTCGTGCGTGACGGATCCTGGCTCGGTGAATTTTGGCAAGCTTTGAAGAGATGCCCTGAATCATCCTTTGCTCGGCCTCCCTTGACATATACCGTCGAGTACCAGTGCTGATTTCGCCCAGTCGGTTCCACTCATTCATTCCAAACTCACCAACACCAACTTCCACATTAAGACGGTAGTAGGCGTCGATACTGACATTTCGTTTTCCAAGGTGCTCGCGCATCATGTACTCATGAATATTCTCGCAACCCTCGATCTTGGCTATCAACTTCCTACGCGCATCGGCAAAATCACCCAAGAAGCCTTCATACCACATCTGCGAATTCGAATCGCTGCCCTTGGGCCGTCTACCAGTACCGACGCTAACAAAAACACCCACTTCGCGACCGGGCCACTCGTTGACCACAGCTTCGTCCAGGGCTTCTGGACTAGGGTTGAAAGTGCCGACACCGTCATCGTGAAAAACTGATTGACCAATGGTGATGGGCTTGAAGGCCAGTCCGATCGCACAAGTGGCTCGACCAGCCTGCCAAATCTTGCAGTCGAACTCGGGAGGAGGTTCTTTTCGAGAATCGTAGGATCGCAAAAGAGCCGCGGGTGAGCCTCGAGGAGAACCCTTGTAAACTGCCGTTACCGCGCTAGAAAAATATGTTAGCGATGCTGTCATGGGTAGAAAGCAGTGGAGGTATGACTCACGTTTTGGTACGGTTTTCACGATGATCGTATAGGCGCGCGTTTGGATCGCCGTATCTAGAGTTATACGCAGGTCGATACGCCATTTGCGAGGCGGGACTGCGAGCGCTAAAGCTAACGGTGCTTGCATTGCTCTGGTTTCGGCGGGGGGCACCGGCGCTTGAGTACATCGCAGCGTTGAGAGGATTGGTGAGGGGAGAATCTGAGCCGTCGTTGCCTTCCCTCTCCTTCACCGTGTGTTCTTGCACAGCTGCCTTGATAGCCTCCTCGAGTTTGCTGGCCTTGAACAAGGTTGACCTGTAAGGAATACCCGCAATAGTCTTGTCGGTCTGGAAAACCATGCGCGTTAGACGAACGTAGAGCTCCTTACACGTCTCGAGGTCAAGACGCAATCGACCCAGCATCAAGGCGATCAGCCCGCCTGTACCAGTACCGACGATTAGGTCGAAATGATCGCATGGCTTGGGGATTTCGTGCCGCTTGGGAGCGCGGCCTTCGATCTCGACAAAAGTTCGGTGCATAAGCTCCTGGATAATAATGAATATGGAATAACCGCGGACACCTCCTCCATCTGGCGCGTATTAGCATTGGATCAAACAAAGCAGACGTCATCTTGGTGGGCGCTTACCGAGTGATAGAACTCGAAGAGGCGGGCCTTTGGTCGTATCCTTTCTCCTGACCCCGCCGGAGTCCATGGGCGCAGAGGACGTAGTTGTGTTGCGGCTTGCGCTTCAATCGAGTATAGAAAGTTGAAATACAGGCGATTTGGGTGTTTGTAAAGGTGTCACTGTCGCGCAAAGCTGTTGGTGAGCTGTAGACGGTCTTGGCTCTTGTCGCTTATCGAGATCAGGTGGGCGGCTGTGTTCAGAGGGTTGAAGCTGATCACGCCGCGTGGGCTAAGATGAGTGGTCTTTGATGTTTTGGAGAAGTCGAAAGCTCACGTCAAGATTTGTTGATTGATCTAGGTACAGTAAGGCAGATTGTGGGCAGCCCAGGCAGTCATAGTCATAGTTCCCAGTAGAGCAGTTTTTGGCTGGCAGTGAGCAACAACCCAAGACTAAAGAGTCGGGTCGGCACTACGTAACGTAACGCAGGTCGCCCCGCCTCATGGAAGCCCAGGGCACCTCACCTCAGCCATTTTTGGATCCATCATCCCTAGAAGCCCTGACGCAACAGTGAGCGGACCTCTCGGATTTGCGCGGGAGCCAGGCTCGTCAGTGGAGGAATCTTGGAATCCTCTGCTGGGAACAGCGAGATGGTGCCCCTCGACCCCTGTAAATTTCGAGTCTTTGACTGCAGAGGCGACGGGAACTTGCCCAGGCCTGGAAACTCACGCGCCACTCGACATCCTGACAGCGGCTTGTCTTGTGGTTGGACACAGGACATTTCTCCTGGCTACTGCACGTTTAATAGAGGACATGGGGGATGCAGATGATGATCGCTGAATCCCTCTCGGTCTCTGCTCGCTCAGCCAGTACGCGTACAAATCATGAGATCCAGTTGTCTGGGCTGAAACGATGATACCATATAAACTCTCATCCCGTCCGTCCCATGTGGTTCGCAGACACGAGACGGCTAGAGAGTGGCTGTGTAAGCTTGGCTCTTCTCTTTTCGACCATCCATGCTCTCCCGCCCGTTCACGGGTCCATCGATTGTTCTTGGCGTGTTCCAAAAGCTTTGGCGTTTTTTTTTGCCTCAATGATCTTGGCTTGTGGTTTGTAGAGAAG